TTACCTGAAAAAAGTAATCAGATTAACGCGTTACTGCCCATCTCTGGTAGCAAACACGAAGGAATAGTCCACTGCGCTGCAGCATATACACTGTGTGGTTTAGCTAAGGTAGCTGGCTGGATACATGTATTCATGTATGATGTATTCATGCATGAGGCCGTGCATATGACACCAATTTACCAGCAGTAAATGAAGTATTGATATGATCTGCTTGGTTTATACATCAGTTCAGGCCAACATTGTACAAACTCTGGAGAAGTGTTCTGACAGGTCGAAAACAACAAATGTATGACTTGACTACGTGAGGCATTTGAGTTCTCACATGTGGCTCCGTCTTGTGAGACCTAGAAAAGATCAGGGCCTCAGTACATGTGTGGAAATGTCTCAGGTTTATGGACAGCACTTACGTAAAACTTCCTTTTAGCAGCTGGCCTTTATTTTTTTTTACTAATATCACAATATAACAGTACATAAAGAAATATCGCCACTGGAAGTGGTGGTACATGATGAAGTTTATCACATTTGTAAAATATATTTACAAAAATCTCCATAACTTCCAGAAGGTTAATGAAGCAATGAAGATTTGTTTGTGGATATAATAATAGTATGAGACATTTATAGAAGAGCAGAGTAATATATATTCCAACTGTAGACTATGGAAAAAATGACAAACCTCTAAATCCTGGCATGAGAAAATGTTTACTAATGGAAATGTATATTTGTGTAACAAACAAATGAAATGTATCCAATGTTCTGTTGTAAATTAAGATAATTGAAGTATGAATCAAAACAGACTGAGACGGTGCGACTGAAAGGAAACATCGTATAGATTCTGAAGTGCACCTCGTTCACATGTGGTACAATAAATCCCCTCATGTATTCAGGCCTGTCACACACACATACACATGCTAATTCACGCACCATTTGCAGCTGTTCTACTGTTGTGTAAACTTGTAGCTCAGTTCTAGACAGCAATAGTATGCTTGCATGAGTGTTCCTTGTCACAGTTAAATACAAATCCAGATTAAACACATCTGCATATGTGTAGAGTATGAAAACCAACCTCTTTGTTTCTACATTCCCACCATTATTTAAATCTGTCCTACTTTAAAGTAAGATTGGGCTATATACAATGACTTTGTACAGAACAGACTGGAAGATATAATAACAAACCGTTAGGTAATGATTAGTTTATATTAGTGTGACTGCATAGTAATCACTTTCTTAAGTAATTAAGTCAGCCGCTGAGTGGAACAAACTGCTAACAACTTTACTAACTAAATAAGATCTTCATCACATTTTTATGAAATGTGAATGTGAGTCTGAATGGTTGTCTGTCCCTGTGTGTTGGTCCTGCGACAGACTGGCGACCTGTCCAGGGTGTACCCCGCCTCTCGCCCTATGACAGCTGGGATAGGCTCCAGCGCCCCCCGCGACCCTGAAAAGGATAAGCGGAAGCGAATGGATGGATGGATTTACAAAAATATCTTTATTACTGTCAGTGTGTGATAGATCTGTAGCGGGAATCAATCTACAAGTATGTATTCAAGTCATATAAAGAGGGCGAGATACAGAGAGATACATTTTCTATCCTGGGGCTTAAGGAACTGGACATCTCAAATCCTGAGTCCACCTCCAACCCCCCCACTCATCTTCACAGATTAATGACCTGATGGAGGAAAAAGTGGAACAGAGTCAGGTCTCTCTGTCTGTCTGGCTCCTAATGTATCAAACAGTAATTAAACACATTTACACTTCACACTATATTGTACTGAGGCATACACACTTGTAGTGTCTTTCATGTAGCGCACATACCACACCTATAAACACATTTGTGTAAACAGTTTTCGTTTGAAATGTTAAACCTATATACATGCACAGATGGCGCTGACACTTCTCCTTCCAACTCCTTCATTTGTTAATGCTTTCTCGTGTAAAGATCAGTCTACAGCGCAGGGCGTTGCGTTGGTCATTTTCTGTCACATCAGAAACACTTCTGGCTGCCAGGTGTCACACTCACATGGGCACCAACACCACCATTCAGCCCTCCTCTTTCTTTCCATCCCACTTTTCTTTGACGCTCTTTCTTTCTTTTTATGTTTTATTTCAAATTTGAGTGATTCATTTACTATTAATTCTGCCACGGATTTTTACCACAAAGGCTTTGAAAGTCCTTTTTTCTCACGCTCTTTTTCTTTCTTTCAGCTGCCTCACTTCATCAACAGCTCTTTGCCAGCTCATGACCGCATGACGGCTCAGCAGATTGACAGCTACTTCCGCCAGGAGCTGATCTACAAACGCAACGAGCGAATGGCACGACGAGTTTCTGCCCTGCTGCAGAGAAATCCCAACCAGACTTACTTTTTTGCTTTCGGTGCAGGTAAGACTCCTAGGCACTCACGGAACTCACACAATGACCTTTGACCTGCTGGTTACGAGATTCTTCTCTATTCTACATGTTGAGAGCAACTCCAGGGAGTATGCATTTGCATGTAACTGAAAAATGGAATAGATCAGGTTTACTTTGGTCTGGAACAGAGAATCTGTCAGTTTTAAAGCGTGCTTACAGTGAACAAATTTGCTCTGTTTTCTGCTTGAAAGCAAAACTGGAGAAAAAAAAAGCAGGACAATAATAGTGTACAATAGTTCCCAGATCTCTGGCATTCAAAAACTGTGAATCTGTCCAAGTGTACACACACGTGCACACACATACACAGAAGTCTCAATTACAGCCAACTCCCATCTCAGAAATGAAGAAACTGTTGTTTGTTTCGATTAGCATTCCTGGCTAATGCTGGTAATGTTTCCTGAATAGTGTAGTGTGTCCTAAGGAAAATGTGTGTGTGTGTGTGTACGTTTGAGAATATACAAACACATGTGTTTGCCCACAAAAACAGGTGGTGGGTGGGTATCTTTGTTTACTGTATGGCTGTGTGCCTGCGTGCATTTGAAAAAGGGTGGCGCTACTTCTAGGATGTGTGTATGTGCATGCATGCGAGTGTGTGTGCGCCACAGTGAATGATTAATACTGAATGCCTAGCTCCTTTCTTTGTTACTCCCTCTGCTCTTTGTGCAGTTTGGGCCACTGTTGCACCATCCAGCTGCTATTTGTGTGTCCGTGCAGATGTGGCTGAACACTGTAAGTTAGTATTTGTGCTCAAGACTCTGTGGAGAAAGGAATTTCTGTAATATTACTAAATAATAAATGGTGTACATACGTGAAGAAAAAACATATCAGTGGCATGTGGTGACTTTTACAAAAAGACAAGCAAAGATACTGCATTTTAGTCTCCCATCAGTCATCCATTAACCCTTTAAAACCGGTCAGAGC